TTGAAAATAAAAAGGGAACTATGTATGCATATACATATAATGTGAAAACTAGTTGGAATCTTCTGGGGATTTTGTTTTTATATGCTGATGTTTGGATCTCAACTCCTCTCAATTCCATCAGAAACTCTAAGGTATAATTTTGGCTCTGGCATCAGACTTTATTTTTTTAAGCTTTTCAATATAATGAACAATTGAATTAGATGAACTGAATGATTGCTCATAAAGAAGTAGAAAGCTGGAGGACTTATTAACCATAGAAGAGAGAGAATCAGATACAGTGCTTTACTTGTGAAACCTAAGATGACTTCAAGTGACAGGTAATGCCTAGATTGTTTAAACCTCCTTAAAATAGAGAATACATTTTTAAAAAAAGTTTTCTGACTCTCTCCAAGAAGTAAACAAAACCTGATATCCAAAATTAGCTAGGGGATCACAAAAATAACCACCAAAACAATAAATAACAGCCCAATTTAACTTATAGAGATGCTACAATGTGTTAAAAAAAATAATACATCAGGACAAAGTAGTTTTTATCCCAGAAACGGTCTTATGGCTCAACACAAGGATCTTCATTACTGTAACTGACTTTCCTAATAGTGTAACCAGATAAATCCAGGGAGACAAGTGTTCCAGTGTTTGTATAAAACCTTAGTCATATTAGCAAATATAACTACATAGTAATTAAAAGCTCCTTTGAATTGACAAAACGTACGTCAAATGTAAAAATACACTCTTAATGCATAACACTTCCAGAAAGTCCTTTCCAGATGTTTCTTCTACATATTTATCACACCCGCATTAATGGCCTCAAAAATGTTTCCCCTCCCAAACCACCTTCCCTCACACTTGGCCTCTACATGTACACTTTTATTTTTTACCCCGTCAGCTTTCAGTTACTCTTTTTTCTTTTTTTGAACATTAATGCTCTGTGCTTTCTAAAGTAGATTTTTCTTTTTTTTTTTTTTTGGTCTTAGCTTTTCCAAATCTCTTCTTCCTTAGAACAATCTGCCACAAAAGGCTAAGGGGCGAACTAGGCAGCACAGAATCATGACAAAGAAGAGTGGGAAGAAGGGGAAGCTGGAAGCTTCAAAAGTATCTTTCATGGGTGAGAGGGAAAGTCAAGGAAGCTAATTATCTTGAGTTGATATATTTTATTCAGCCACAATAGGCTAATGTATAAGAACCTTATGGTTATTTTGATATGTTCCAAAAAAAAGCATTTAATAAAATTCAAAGCCTTTCCTAGTATTTCTTAGCTGTTATTGAAGAACACTTCTCAAACTCAGCATATATTTATTTATATATGACAAAATGAAATTCATTGCCTTTTTTTCAACTACTAATTTGATTTGAACACTTTTTTAATCATTACTGATTTTTTTTTTTTTTTTTTTTTTAGGGAATCAGATATACTGGTTGATGAGTCTCTAATGAACAAATAAAAATTCGTCTCCAGTCTGGACTTACTGATTCAGAATCTCTGATGGGTGGGGCCTGAGCATCTTGGGCTTTAAACAGCACTCTACTGATTCTGACGTACACACTGAATATAGGCAACTACACTATTAATTTCAGTGTGAGGCCAACTGAGACCAGGACCCTGGAAAGCTATGAGAAATATTATGGAGAAACAAAGGTGGGAGACATTGATTCTGACTGAGAAGCCTTCTGAAGAGATGGCATATTATAAAGTCTGTGAAAGATGAACACAAAGTAATAAGAACCACTTATTCTATACCTCACTTATGAAAAGGAAAAGAGTTTCATTTGAATTGCCTCTTACAGGATAAACCTCCAGATATTTGAAGACAGACTTCCTGCCTTTTCCTAAGAAAAACATTTCAGTTTCTTGGTGTTGAAGAATATTTAAACATTAAGCTCGCCAAGTCCTGATATTGTAGTACCAGAGGTCTAATATTAATCATTAAGTTTCCAATGTTTTAACAGAATTGGTAGAAACTAAGAAAAGAAATGAAGAAAAAATAGTGTCCCCCTTCTGCTTGTTCTAACATTTTTTCCTCTATGCAAAAGAGCCTCTAATGGCCGTATATTAGCATATTGGCTCCTCTGTAGTTGTTTTACTTTTGTCTCAACACTATCTGGAAGCATCTTTGATTAGGATGATTAAAGCCCCTCTGTGATTCTGCATGTAGACTAGAAAATGTACAGAATATATGGTTTTCTTCCTGATATATAAAAATCTAGTGGAGATATATATCCCCCCATCCCAGGATTCCCCCCATTTTTTTTTTTGAGATGTAATTGACACAGTATGTTAGTTTCAGGGATACAACTACAGAGAGTAACAGGAATCACCCACGTCAAGCAGTGACTTATGTCAAGCAGTGACCCAAGAACCAAAGGCGTTGCAGCTAAGACCAGATACCGCCAAAATTAGCACAAGCTGATGACACACTCAGAACTGATGATGAGCAGAACCAGAGGAGATTTGCAAAGGCCCAAGACAGATTAAATCCCTTTAAAAAAGGAACATTTTTGCAGCAAACTATCACACTTTCAAGACACTGATCCTTTCACATCTGACCACATCAAAAAGGCAGCCGCCACTGAAGCTCTGCCCGACTGATCTCTGAACAGAACAGAGATCCTCCACTGCTTGGACGTAATAAGCAGCACATGCTGAGGGCTGACCCGGACCAGACCGAGGCCTTATCTCAACTGCATGCTCACAGACTGACTTCATGTTTGGTTCCTTAACTTCCTACTTCCTGTACTATCTTTGTTGTGTAACTCGTCTTGTGCTTTGTTTTATGTGACGAGAAAGAAGCAAAGTTAAACAAAGAGTGAAATGTCACTGAGTTTGGAATCCTGAACCTGCTTTGTAATTACATTAACCTTGCTTTATGATGAATAAAGCTGGCATTATGGAAAGACACAACTCATGTGTGTGCTTTCCTAGCATGCTCATGACAACAACATAATACTTTGATATTTATATATATTGAGAAATGATCACCACAATAAGTCAAGGTAACTGTCACCATTTATAGTTACAAAATGATTTTTTTGTGATGAGAGCTTTAAAGATCTACTTTCTTAGCATCTTTCAAATATGCAATACAGTATTGCTATCGTCACCATAGTGTATATTATATCAGCATATTATTAAAGAAATATTTTAACGTTTTACAGAAAGGATGAAATCTTCCATATATGATGGTGGAGAACTTATCTCTTTTGGGGAAAAATACAGAATCTTACCTCACACTATATTCACAAATATATGCTGGGTGGGTTAATACTAAAATAAAAATGTAATTGAGGTATGTATAATAAATATAGCAAACTATGATAAAATAGTAACAAGATGCAAAACTAAATAAAATAGAGGTAAAGATGGAAAACATTTTTATAATTTTGCAGTGTACAAAACCCACCTAAGGAACACAAAATCTCTGACACCTTAAGGGAAAGGAGAGGCAGGTTCATATCAAATCAACAATAAATGAAGATCAGAATGATGAAAGGAAAGTTATAAAGATAGAAAAGAAATAACAATCTTGAAAAAAATAGTTATAGCCTATCAAAAATACATTAGGAATGTTGCTATAATTGGTTTTAAAAAGGCAAAAAACATATTAGAAAAATATGCAAAGAATAGAAACAGAAAAATTAAATACAAATGATGAAGAAATCTATGAACACTTCAACCTCAATATTAATAATGGAAATGCACACTAAACAAGTAAGGGATGCCATTTTTACTTATTAAGAGGACAAAAGTCAAAATGAATTGGCAAGGCATGTAGACACAGGCAGTCTCAGCAAAGAAACAATTTGGTGTTTATCTCAGTTTAAAAATATGTATAGTTTTTGACCTAGTTATTCAACTTCTAGGCAAGTTTTATACACGTGCACAAATATCAATATATATCCGATAATAGTAAAAAGTTGGAAACAATTAGAATTTTCAGGGTTTTTAGCAAGGCAAATTTCCACTTACAACAGTAAGTTTTAGGTATCAACTCGATTGGCCATGGGGTGTCCAGATTGAACATAATTTTTGGATGTGTCTGTGAGGGTGTTTCCAGATAAGATTAGCACTTGGATCAGTGGACTCAGTATATTGCCCTCCCCAATGTGAGTGGGCATCATCCAAACCACTGGAGGTGTGAAAAGAACAAAAGTAGGAGGAGTGGGGAGTTTGACCCTCTTTTCCTATCTTGAGCTAACATCTCATCTCATCTTCTGCCTTCGGACTGGGATGTACACCTTCGACTCCTCTCGTTCCCAACCTTGGGAGCCAGACTAGCTTCTACCACCAGTTTTCCTGGGTCTCCAGCTTTTCAATGGCCAATCACAAGACTTGTCAGCCTCCATATTCGCATAAGCCAATGCCTCATAATAACTCTCCTTTTGTATATATATTCTTCTATTGGTTCTGTTTCTCTGGAGAACCCTGACTTTCACACCACTCCACTAGAGGCTACATTCCTCAGCCTTTCTTACACCTAGAGGTACTCTTGTAACTAAATTCTGGCCAACTGGATGTAAATAAGCACTGAGAGTGACAATTTTAGGTACACCTCTAAAGAGAAGCTTCTCACTCTTCACTTCCTCTGTCCCCTTCTCCCCCTCCTGTGGGCTATATCTAACATGATGGAGAGGAACCATTTCCTCTTGTATAAATGAGAAAATCACTCCAGAGGATGGCAGACCAACAAAATAAATGAAATCTGCGCTCCTGAAAACTGTCTTGGGGAGAGCCATCTCCCACAAAAATATACTTTCCATCTGGTTTAAGCCAGTCTAGTTTGCAAAGGTAAAAAGATACTCCAACTAACACAGTAGTAAATGTACACGCACTGAGCATGTGACACTGAAATGTGAAAACATACCATTATAGACACTTTTATCAGAATTCAAATACAAGTTCATAGTCAAAACCCACAAATCAACATTCTGATATCTCCAAAATTCTGAGAAAGACACATAACCAAAGCAATGTTTGGCTCAGTTGCATTTTCTTGTTCACTAACCTCCAAAGTAAGAGCCGTCTGTCAGCTTCATTTCTTTACTGGATTTTGTGATGACACCAGCAACGCCATGTTGAATGAAATACATTTTTTTACCCACAGCTCCTTCCCGTATGATGTAATCTCCAGGTTGAAACACCTCAAATCTCAACTTGCTCAGCATGGCAGTCACAAAATTGGGATCGGCATTAGCAAACAGAGGCATGGTAGCCACTAGCTTCCGACAGTTGAAATTGACGATCTCCTAAAGATGGCAAGGGCAGACAAATATGAAGAGAGATATTAATCATATCAGGAAGAAAAGCACATGCTTACATTAAAATCTACAATATAGCTCAATATTGCAATTTAAATTCACAACCAAAGACACATAAATTCTAATAATCTGCATATCTCTTCAAAGCCAGAAATTATGTTTTATTTTTGTGTTGGAACTTTGTATTCCAAGCACCTAGTTCAGCATAGGCATATATTAAACATTAAGTAAATGTGAATTAAATATATATGTCTTACCTTTTATAACTTCCAATTCCTTTACTATACTTCATATAAAATTAGAACTCAAATGTGGAAGAGTTTTAGTCTCCCTTTTATCTTGTTTTATGAAGAAAAGAAGCCACACTACCTACCTCTTATTAGCTATAATATTACTGCTTTTGTGCTCCATTGTGTTGAACAATCTAACTTGCACCTACTGACCAGAATTCTGAAACAAAGACCCAGCTGCCAGACAAGCATTTTAATGTTTTTTTTCTTAATGTTATTCACATTAAAGTGAGGACAATGGGGTGTGGAAGAAAGGTTATACAAAGAAGACTCTAATCTAACTATAATCTATAATTGTAAATTCCATCTGTTTCTGGGCTAAATTAGAAAATCACTCTTTTTTAAGCCTTCTGGGCTTTAGACTGGAGGGACCATATTTTCCTTTTCCTGAATTGTTTGTTTGTTTTATTGCTGGAACCAGGCCAACTCTGAATTAGACTTACACATTTGATTTCATTCTGTAGATGTGGTCCAGATTAGACATAGTGCTATCTCTTTGGACCAAAATAGAGATGTGGGACCAACTGTTTTTTGTTTTTTGTTTTTTTAAAGATTTTACTTATTTATTTGAAAGAGAGAGAAAGAGAAAACATAAGCACACAGGCAGGGGGGAGGGGCAGAGGAAGGAAATCCTGCTAAAAAGTGGGAAAAGGGGCACATGGGTGGCTCAGTCGTTAAGCGTCTGCCTTCAGCTCAGGTCATGATCCCAGGGTCCTGGGATGGAGCCCTGCATCGGGCTCCCTGCTCGGCGGGAAGCCTGCTTCTCCCTCTCCCACTCCCCCTGCTTGTGTTCCTGCTCTCGCTATCTCTCTGTCAAATAAATAAATAAAACCTTTAAAAAAATGTGGGAAAAGGGCAAAAAATAATTGGAGGTATTAACAAAAGCTGAGATCTGAATTCTTGTTTGGGAAAATATGTTATATAAACTAATAGATTCTAAGACTGAGGAAAGAAAGTTTCCTCAATCTTGCTTCATGAAATGACATGACCTTATTTTGGAATAGGTAAGAAAATTCTAGCTGATACAGGGGGCACAAAATTTGGGGTCCACCATGGAAAAGAAGGTATTTCATCTTTAACAATATCTTGTCAGTTCAGCAGAGCAAAGATTCTCTAATGGTGGGGCTTCACGGAGGATGGTAAAATATTTAAAACAGCTGTAATAAGCAAAAAGGGAACATAGCAACAAAAAACAAGAGAAAGATACCTCGTGTAGCATCATCCAAGCCCAAATAATGTTCAGCTGACTCCATGGGTGGTTGTACTGAGGACAACTTGTGGTTAATTTTAACTGGTGCTGAAGAGCAGTGGTGGGGGTGGGACTACAGTAAGCTTTCGCACGTAGTTCACGCTCAGTGAATATGCACGCAGGTAGAGAAAGTGGAATAAAGGAGAAAGGGAGAAGGAAGGGAAGGAAAGAAGGAAGATGGAGTTTCAACAGTGGAAAAAAGTGCTCACAAAGAGGAGGGATTTTTTCCCATTGGGGGATATTTACTTCAAACTCCTAGAAAGCTCTCTAAAGCAAACAGCTTGATAAAAAAGTCTCTGGTTCATAAAAATGTGCTTTTTATTATTCAGAATCCTTCTATACAAAAACTTCATGAAGATAAAAGGTGAACCACTCAAGGTTCATGAGTTGAAAGAAGACAGAGAGAGGTCATTAAAAGGACCAGATTGATTGTTTGAGTTAATGATTTCACATGTAAAATGGCATGGAAGAATACGGTGGAAGAAAATGAACATGTCAGATTTCAGAGAAAAGAAGAATTTTCAAAGAAAATAATAAAATAGAGAATTCTTTTATCTGTGTTACTGGATTCAAACACATTTTTTTCTCTTCATTGTTCTCTCACCCTTTATTTTAGAAAATAATTAGAAGTATATTTTATAAACAAGTTAGCTGTTCTTTATTTATATGAATAACTTTTTCTATGATGCATTGCATATTCAGGTACACCTATTGTAACTGCCTTGATTATAACACCACAGGGATAATTTCATATTATTGTTATGGCTTAAAGGAATCCATTAATTTTTTCTCTCTTTGGAACTTTTACCTCCAGTGTGACAACTATCAGATTGAAACTATAAATTCTAACAAGCATTTGATAAGAAAAAAATGTAATTAGACAGAAAGTTATTTGCATTTAAAAGCCCTCTCTCTTCCCATGAAATTGGCTTGCAATCATGTGAGTCTAGAAATGAAGCAAAACTTTTAAAAGCTCTTTTCCATCAATCACATTTCTTTATAGCACATTTTCTTAGAGAACATATTTAATTAAGTTATTAATATCTCTCTATATGTAAAACAAGACTTTTAAAGCTCCTCCTCCATCAATCACAGTTCCTTATAGAACACTGTCTTAACTAAGACACACAGTTAAGTTATTAATATCTCTAATTTCCATCCAGATGCTTTATGGCAGTTGTTACAATGAGCTATTTTAGCAATATGTCTGGCCTGAATTAGGAGTATTGACCATATGCGTTAAATTGAGGAATGCTCCATTCCTAAGGGAATCAGACATGGCCCTGACCTTTATAAGGTACTCCAAATTACCAAGCTTACTGTCAACACTTAAAAAAATGTAATTTTTTCTTCCTGGAGCACCTTGTAGTAACAGAAAGTATAGAAGTGCTAAAAAACAAACAATCAAATACAAACATAAAAAAGAAAAATCCCACAATGATGAGTGTATTTCAAAGAAGGCCAAATGAAAAAGCTACCAATAGCTAAAGCGTTAACAATTGGTGTAACAAAGTAAATAATGTAGTGTTAGATTAATCTCAAAGTATAAAATAAATAATCATGAGACCATATTTATATAGTTAAACAACTGAGTAAATTAAAGAGCAGGGGAAAATAGACAAATCTGTTCAAATTCCAAATAAACTTTTCTCTACTAAATAAAAGCATAATACAACAACCAACACCGAAGAACCCTGAATTTGATCTTACTTTGACATGTCAGTCTATTTCAAATATGAAAGTCCTTCCTTTTCAGTGGTCCTTCCTCTTGTTTTGCTGAAGTGTGATAGAATGATTTACGTTGTTTGGTCAAAGACTAGAGAATATTTTTTAAAGTATCATACAGGGTAAAGTGCACAAGTCTTAAGTGAATTTTTCAAATGTCTAACCACATCCTCTTTATCCATCATCAGTGGACACTTGGGCTGCTTCTATACTTTGACTATTGTAGATTACGCTGCAATAAACATCAGGGTGCATGTATCCCTTTGAATTAGTGTTTTTGTATTCTTTGGGTAAATACCCTATAGTGCAACTGCTGGATCATAAAGCAGTTCTATTTTTAACTTTTTGAGAAACCTCTGTACTGTTTCTACAATGGCTACACTCGCACTGATTTCTCTTGAATGTTTATACCATATATGGGAATTGCTGGGTGATAAGGTAAACATATTTAATTTTAGTAGATACTAGCAAAAGTTTTCTAAAATGATTGTATTATTTTTCTCACATAGCAGCAATATATAAATTCCAGTTGTCCTGCATCCATAGTAAAATTTGATGTTATCATTCTCTGATTTTAGCTATTAGTAGGTATGCAGAGATATCTTATTATTTTTAAAAATTTTCTCATTGTAGTTTTTTTTTTAAGATTTTTATTTACTTATTTGACAGAGAGAGAGGGAACACAAGCAGAGGGAGTGGGAGAGGGAGAAGCAGGCTTCCCACTGAGCAGGGAGCCCAATGCGGGGCTCGATCCCAGGACCCTGGGATCATGACCTGAGCTGAAGGCAGACACTTAACGACTGAGCCACCCAGGCGCCCCTCATTGTAGTTTTATCTTACACTTCCCCACTGATTAATGTTGTTATGCACATTTTAATAGGCTTACTGATCAGATGAATATCCTGTTTGGTGAACTGCCCAGTCAAGTTTTTCTCATTTTTTTTTCTGTTGTTGGAGTTCTTTTTATAGTCTTGACATGAGTTCTTTGTTGGGATATACATTGTAAATATCTTCTCCGCATCTGTGACTTGCCTTTTCAATCTCAGGGTTATCTTGTATTATTTTTTTGGTTTAAGTTTATGACAATCAGGAAAATGGGATTTGATATATATATATATATAGAGAGAGAGAGAGAGAGAGAGAGAGAGAGAGAGAGCTTCACAAAGGATTTTTTATTAATTTTTTTAAAGATTATTTATTTATTTGAGAGAGAGAGAGAGAGAGCACATGAGCTGGTGGAGGGGCAGAGGGACAAGGAGAGTCCCCGCTGAGCATGGAGCCCAGTGGGGCTCAATCCCAGGACCCTGAGATCATGACCTGAGCTGAAGGCAGATGCCTAACTGACTGAGCCACCCAGGTGACCCACAGAGGATTTATTTTAACCATAAATCAGTATTTAGGAACCATGCAAACTCTGAGACCCTGGAAAAGCTTAAGCAATATTTTTTTGGTTATTATTAAAAAGAATAGTAATATTTTAAGGCTCCTTGAAGCACTACAATTCTTTACTGATAACTTAAGTATCATTGGGGAAAGTTCCATTTTGTAAAACACTTAGTTCTCCCCCATTCTACATTATTTTATTCTACACAGTATAGTTCTAAAATGTTTTAGGCATGATAGCTATAAATATAATTACCATCATTACAATAATGAATCATGGAGTATCTTAACAAAACAGAGCTGCTGTTACATTGCTAAATTCCTACACCCAACACACCCTG